TATATATATATATATATATCATTTGTGACACAAAAACAAATTCATATTCATTTCAACTATACCTCCATGCCTTCAAAAGGAGTCAGGTCTCTAGGCTTGATCTGTTTCTTCTCTTTCTTTTCTGAGTAAACAAAACACAAACAATCACTAAAGCACTTTTTATAATATTTTTTACCCTATACTTCTCAGCCTACCTGCAGATTTCTTGCGGTTTTGCAGGTAGAACAATAACTGTTCCACCTCAGGAAGTCTGGAAGGGGAAATGAGTCTACACTCCTCCACTACCTTCCGTGCTAAAGACGCAATATCCGTGTTGGAATTCAGGCTTTTCAGACGGATTCTGCAAACGGAGGAAAGTTTTAGCTCTAAAAATCTACCCCACAATCAATTTTCCCACTACTCCATTTATCTGAATGATCTTACATCTTCTGGCACTCCTTGCGTTCTCCTAGCATCGTGTCTCCCGTCTCTCCAAGGATTGTAGCTTCCACTTCATATTGGACAACAAGGGCTTTTTCTGTGGGGTGGACATCTAAACTGCCACCCTTATATTTCCTGAAGACAAAACATTACAGATTATTATTGATTATTGTTATAAATTACGTACTTTTCCTACTATTTTTGAAATTGCCTATCACAGCTATGCTGATGATACCCAGATTTACCAATAAATTTTTTAATAATTTTCAAAATTTTTAAATTCCTTGTTTTATTGTTGTGATCTTATTGTTTATTATTATTTTCTTTTCTTTTATGTAAAGCACTTTGAATTACCATTGTGTATGAAATGTGCTATATAAACTTGCCTTGCCTTACTTTTGAGTTACCTATGAAAGATGTTTGATGCATAAAGCTTATCTTTAAAAGCTTATCTTTAAAAAAAAAAAAAGTAGTATATTATTGGTAAAACAATCATGTTTTGTTATCCTTTTTGTTTTGTTTTGTTTTTCTCGGACATGTTCCCAGATAGTAACTTGTTATTGTTATCCTTCAAAGCACCCTGGAGCAACATTAAATAACACGGTAAATTAATGTAAACATTCAGTAACGTTACCATTGTAAACATAGCATACGTACAAATACATTTTATTAATTCAATAACTCTGTTTAATATGATGAATGATGATATTGTGGTGATGATAATGATGATGATTATGCCCATATAACCGTCACTTGAAGACACATAAATATAAACTGATGCCATAATTTGCCTGAATATTTTGAAAGCTGTACATATATATCAAAAATGAATGTCTTACGCCTTAGAAAACAATTATATGCAGTGTTAAGCTCAAGCTCGACCACTACAGCTAATGACAGAGCTCGCTCGCATTACACAAACACTCACCGTTTTAAATATCTGGCGTCGTCCGCTTGCATTGTTGCTCATAAATTAAAGCAAACAAACATGTGCGGTCGATTTCTGTCTGATGTTTTGACGTGTCTCTAATGTCCGGACTGCTTCATCGTTTCTGCTCTGGCAGGATGCTGCTGTTTGTGTTGCTATGGGTGTGTACTGAAATTCTGTGAAGAAGCGAAGAAGCAGAAATAAGCGGAAGAACCTCTAGCGCCACCTGTATATGTGGAGGTACGCATCGCTCACTTGGAATACATGTACAGGCTAGGCTTTTGTTGGATTTGATTTGTATTTATGTATTTATACGGGTATTTGTTTTTCTTCAACGCATTTTATAGTGCTGAATGTATTAGTTCAAGTCTCACAGTTTTAATTACCTATTACCTATATTTTACAATTGGAAGTGAACTAGTTATTGACAGCTTCTAAATCAGATTAGCTTGTACAAATTGCTGTCAGAACAATAAAGACTGTAAGAATAAAGGATACTTTTTAACCACCAGCCCAGTTTTTATACAATTGTTGGACTATTAGAAAAATGTCTTGTTTTGATATATCTTGTTAGAAGAAACAGTCTTAGAAAGTTTAGAACACATTAAGAAATAAAAAAATAAAAACAAAGACAAGACTTTTGAACCTGACTTTATCCAATGTTCAGATTTCTGTTCTGGAAATGTATAAGATTTTAATGAGTGCATTTTTAATTAAATAATCCATGATTTGTATATTTAAACATGACATTTCAGAAAACTTGTAATTAAAAAAATGTCTCGTTATACTGTAATGAATCAGCTAGGGAAGTATGGAGAAATCTATTCGATTTTTTAAAAACTCAAACAAATTGTTTGAAACATTTACCTATATTAATATGGCTTTTTGGACCAACTTTAGGACCTGCATTATTTATAAACAGTCTTCTCTAATTGCATTGAGAATGTATTTCCAATTTAAGCACTGGTTCAGTTCTGGTTCACTGAATATCACATACACTAAGGTGATGATCATTTGGCAATTTATCTAAATTTCAAACTGCAATCATATGAGTAACACATGGCCCATGAGCTGACATGACTAAAGATGAGAGGCCTGATATCTTATCCATCTTATCTCTCTCTCTCTCTCTCTCTCTCTCCCTATCTCTGCTTTTTCACACAATTTGTATGTGTAACTCTAAAAACCAAGTTTTTTTAGCAATTGTGTCATTATTGTAGCTAATGCCAATGCATGCAGACAGTAAGCAGCAACAGCATGTTCAGATTAGATCTGTCTTTGATCTTTCCTCACCACTGTGAACTTGCCACCAATACTGTGTATACAAACATGAGAAGGCAGTGCTAAGAATAGCCACTACATAAGCCGCTTGTCACTAGCTGTGAATGAATGCATGACTATCTGGTTTATGTGTTGGTATGCACTAATATGCCATTCTGGATGTGTCTATGGAACGTAAGAGAAGGAGCTTCTTCTGGAACTGGAGAAGAAGGCACCACCCCTCTTCTGAGGCAATCTTACCCGTCCCTTTCTCATTCCACCACCCCAGGCCTAAAGCAGGTGATCTGATAAGATGTGGTAGTTTTAAGCACTCTGCTGAGAAAAGAACGCTCAACCGGTCAGTAACCAGAGGCCTCCTACAGATATAGCAGCATCGTGGTGTCTTCAGAGACACCTTGAGCTACGCATTATCACACACGCTTTGAGTCACTTTGCAGAAGATTCAGAATGTCTGATTCCACCTCCATTATGGAGTTTAGCAGGACGCATCAAGCTTTCCGAGACCGCTGGGCAAAGACGGATGATGAGATGTGCAAGCACAGTATGTCTTTCCACTTGCACAATACTCTGAGGAAGGAGTTCTTCGCCAGCTACCTGTACCTCCTGGAGCAGATTCCTCTGGGTAAGATGTGGGAGTGGGTGGCACAATGAATTGTTTGTATTATGACCCTTTGAAGTTTTCCTGCAATATTGTTGTGATGAGAACCGTAAGGCAGATATTTGGAGTATGGAGTTGTGTCAAACCATATCCACAATAAATATTTAGTCTGCATCCACTAATATTCATGTTATTGGCATATCTGTCCCTATTAAAGCTGCTTCAAAATTACATTTGCAAATTTGAGAAGATAATGTCGAACAGCTATGCCTAAACCACAATATCCAATAGGAACAACTGATTTTCACTTAACAGTATACAGTACATACTATTTATCCCAGTGTACAGCCATGTGTCTATTTTAAGCATAATTGCATAACATGTATATGCATGCTGCATACTTTAAATTTTACTGAATAATAAAATATCATCTGTGACTTTGCTATGTTGGTGCATTAGCAGCAATAACAGCATATTTCAAAGTATTGAAAGGCTTTGGAGATGGTGGTTAGGTGTTAAAGTTCCTGAGTCATTAACATAAAAAATCTCAGCAAATGTTCTCCTTTAAACAGCCATGAATATTATATGATGGTCTTTGTCTGATGAATGTTAGCTTATATTTCTATCAGATGTTGGGTAGTGTAAACTGTGGAGACAATTAAACCAGTCTGTCAGTGTTACTGTGAGTTACTGGTTGGATTCAGAGGCTGGATTTATTTCAACAGACTCAATCACAACTATTTGTGTTGTTACTGAAGAGTTTGGTCTGGTATTAAAACACAGAGATCAACAGGTTTTACCCTTGGCCTTTACTCGTGTACAACAACACGGGGGGGAAAACCCCCCATTTATTAAATAAAGAACAGTTGATGTTAAATAATATGTAAAGGAATAATAAATTGAGGTAAAAAGAAATATACTGAAAAGTGTTTCTTAAATGTTAAACTGTGAACTTTACGCAAAAAAAGTAACTTGCAGGTAACTAAAAGCTAGCAATAGCACTTGTAGTTTTTAAAAATTTAGTTTTTAACCCCTATATAATGTATTATGTCGGTGGGAAGAGAAAAACACACAAAAAAAGCACATTTTACTACTGGAAACTGCAAATGCCCTACCCAGTTACAGCAAAGTTATGTTAGTGTCAGTGAAATTCATGTAATAAATGATGTATTCATGTAATAAATTACAATAAAATTAAGCATTAGGAGCAAAAATATTTTTGAGTACATCGTAAAATGACATCAATTGCATTTTAGACCAAAAGGGAACACAATCATTCATTCATATTTTTAAAAAGACTGATATGAATTCAGAAAGTGTTTTGTGAGAGAAATTAAAATTCTGTTATCATTTACTTACCCTCATGTCATTCTAAACCTTTATGATGTTCTTCATTCTGTGGAACACAAAAGAAGATTTAAAAAAATATATATATTTTTGGTTACATTGATTTCCATTTTATGGAATAAATTAACGAATACATAAATGATTTTTTTTTTTTAAACATACATTTCTCAAAAATATCATATTTTATGTTCCACAGAAACTGTTTGGAATGACATGAGAATGAGTAAATGGATGACAGAATTAGCATTTCTGGGTGAACTATCTCTTTCAGAGAAAAATTAGAATTAATGTCTTGCTTTGGCTGAAATGTTTCATAATACTAGCAGGTTTTAATGTTGCCTCATGACCAATAAGGCAAAGCAGATGAGTGAGTGTTAAGCTATAAAGACGGCCAACAAAAATATACAGGACCAAAATAAAATAGTCCATAGGGAATCACTGCCCAGTGTTACTATTTTTGACTTTGAACCAGTAAACTTGTGGTTCACATATCAAACCCTGCTCACAATTTCAGTATCACAGTCCACTCGCCCTGCCAGTTCTCTCACCTATAACCCTTCAGCAAGGTCTTCCCGCTGATCATCTGGTGATCCGATGTTTGACTCCAGCTTTGCAAACATACTTTGACTTAATAACTGGCCTGTCCTTTAAGTGACCAGCCGTTCAAGAAAGCAGATGTTCCAGCTGAACTTAATAATGTGACATTAGACTGATGCTGACAGAGTATCATATGTTGAGTTGCTTCATCTAAACTCCTAAATGTGCCAACAATAAAGCATTCCTTTGTGCTGTAGTACAACACTGTCAATACCAACAGTATCTTGATTCTTCAATCCCATTTGCTGAAAGAAAAAAATCTTGGAAACTGCATAAACAAATGCTATTAATAACTGGTACTTTTCAAAAAAACTACTTATGACTAAATGTTGCTTTGAGAAGTTGGGTTGTTGTGAAACTTTATCTCATAGATGCTTTGATCCCACAGCTGACCTTTATATTTCAACTACAACACAAGATTAGGTTTCTAGCAATTAAATCAATGGCTTGTTTTTCTCTCGTTTTTTAGTGTCTATGTGACTGTCTATATGTTTATTGCCCTACAGTAAAACTCTATGCCGTGACTTGTGAGTACATTAAAGGGGAGAAGCAGTTTTACTACAGGGCACAGAACTTCTACAAGGATGTCCCGGCATCAGAGGAGGGCATGATGGGAGACTTTGTGGAGATATCAGAGATCGACCTTGAAGGCTCAAGACAGTTCCTGAAAAAGTTTGTTGTATGTAATTTAAATTTTCTCTTTCTTACTGAATGTGAATTATTCACAAGAAACACATTGAAATAAACTTAAATATATATATTTTTCTAAGTAAATTCAAAAAAGGATTATTGGATTTATGTTTTACAAGAAAATACCTTTTCGGCATTTTTATGTAATTAATGTGAAATGTACTAACAATTTCTAAATGATTTTTTTCTATGCCAATTTGTTTTTTCAAACATTTGTTTTCATACATCAGTTAAAAAGAGTTAATTAATTTATATACATCCTATTTATAAATATCAGACACAGCCCTAGTGAAAAATAAATATACTAAAATGTATTTGAAATACATTTATTTCATGCTAAGTATACTACAAATACATTTACATATTTATGTACTTAATGAAAATTTTACCTGCAATTGTACTTTTGGTATACTTAAAGTCAAATTGGAACAACTAATTTTATGCTTAATGCACTTTAATTGTGTGTAAATAGTGATGAAGTCCAACTAAAGATATACCGAAGTATATTTGATTGCGCTAAAATGGAAAATTGCAAGTATACTTTAGGTACACTTTAAATATCTTGCATTTAAAGGCCGATATTATTCAAAAATCATACAATCCTCATCAATAGTGACATTAAAACACATTTTAGACAAATGATGTTTCATCATAATTTTTATATCAGTGGTATGTCAGTAAATATGATAATAGATTTGAACTATACTAAGTATGAAATAAATGTATTTTAAATGTATTACTTTTTCACTAGGGAGCCTATGACAACAGACAATCATTTTTAATTGCACATTGCCTTTTCGGTCTGCTCACACATATTCTTTAGATAGCAAGACCTTTAGATCAGAATAACCAAGCTGTACACGTCTCTATAACACTATTTCAACATGTGGTTAATTAACACATATAAGTTGACAAATAGCATTAGCTTCATAAATAGTGCTCAGCTGTTCTGCTGAAACTTTGACCCTGAACCTGGACTAGCACTCATAATTCTTTATTATTTTTGAACATCAAAAAAAAAAAAAGGAAAAAAAAGTGTAATAATTTATTGTGTTTTTTATTATTATAGGGTCCAGGAAAGGCTGGCACCAAGCGGGCACTAGACTGCGGCTGTGGAATCGGGAGGGTGTCTAAAGGAGTTCTGTTTCCTGTGTTTGAATCCATGGAGATGCTTGACATGATGGAAGAGTTCATCCTCCACGCTCATGAGGTTTACCTCGGAGATTACGCAGACCGAGTGGAGGCCTACTACCTTTACAATCTGCAGGAATTCAGCCCACCTACAAAGAGATACGATGTCATCTGGCTGCAGTGGGTTGCCTGTGAGTGGATGGATTGTTTTCATGGATTATTTGATGTTATGTAACATATATTTTACAGTAATGTTTTGTCTGCAATTACTATTTTAATTTGACCTGTGTTTTCTGCCCACCTACATTTGCTTATTTTAGTAGGTCCAGGCTATCTTTGCCCATTTGCTGTAATGAGAGCAGCTGAATGCTAGTCAGAGTCTTTTGTTTCAGTATACAGTTTCATCTCCCTCACTGCAGTCTGTGTACATGTGACACAGACGGCACAGATATCTATATGAAACTGCCTAAAACCATATAAAGACTTTGGTGCATGGTGACAGATTTTTTAAGACCTAAGTGACTCGACAAGTAGTTATATAAAATGTAAAGAATTCTGGACTTTATGCAGCTGTTGCTCAGCTTTACATAAACAGTATCTGCTAAATGAGTTTTGGACTGTGGACATTTTGAAATTTACACACTCTCTTTTTGTCAAGAATTACATGATTCATCAACTATTTTACATTTCTCAGGTCATCTTACTGATAAGGACCTGGTGGAGTTTTTAATGCGTGCTAAGCAGAGCCTGAGGCCCAACGGTGTGATCTTCATTAAGGATAACATGGCGCGGCAGGGATGCAAGCTGGACCCCATTGACAGCAGCATCATTCGCCACCTGGACATCATGAAGAACATCATTCAGACAGCAGGCCTCACCATACTGGACGTGGAAAAGCAGGAAGGTTTTCCTGAGGCTATCGTGCCTGTATGGATGATCGCCATGCGCTAAAGGAAAGAATTTTTTTAGATGGATATGTTGTACATGCACTTATGTATAGTATATATTATAAAATTTATTCCATTTACCAGCTTATATGTGACCCTGGAGCACAAAACCAGTCTTAAGTCGCTGTGGTATATTTGTAGCAATAGCCAAAAATACATTGTATAGGTCAAAATTATTGATTTTTCTCTTATGCCAAAAATCATTAGGATATTAAGCAAAGATCATGTTCCTTGAAGATATTTTGTAAATTTCCTACTGTAAATATATTAAAACTTAATTTTTGATTAGTAATATGCATTGCTAAGAACTTCATTTGGACAACTTTAAAGGCGCTTTTCTCAATATTTTGTTTTTTTCCAGATTCCAGATTTTCAAATAGTTGTATCTCGGCCAAATATTGTCCTATCCTAACAAACCATACATCAATGGAAAGCTTATTTATTCAGCTTCCATAGAATGTATAAATCTCAATTTCGTAAAATTTAACCTTATGACTGGTTTTGTGGTCCAGGGTCTTTTTTTACAAACTTTTGCAAAATATATAATTTCCATTTTTGTTGAAATGGAACAGATAGATGTATATAATTGTATCGCCCATTTAAAAAGATTTAGTATTTTGTACATTTATTGTAGTATCATAAAGTAAAATAAATTATATATTTTTTACAAGAAAATAATGCTGTTGTCTATGTCTAATGTAACTGACAGAATTAAGTATGTTGCCGCCATTGTGTCATTTTTTGTTTTTTAGAGTACAGAAATATTAATACATTTTTAAAAACTGTATAAGTGCCATTTCTTGTTTTTACAACAATACATCATAAAGCAATAAGTCATTGAACCACATTAGTGAACATTTTTCAGAGACATTGGTCATGATGTCTCTCAAATGCTTTAAGTTGTGGGAGAATTATGTCCGTAAAACAACCATGCTTTCATTATTTTTACTGGTAAAATGGGCAAAATATAAAATGACTTACAGTTCTAGAACCTTTTAGCTTGCTTAAAAATATATGATAGTGAGCATTAGTTGGATATTTCCTTGAAGTATTCTTGGTGTCTTTGAAAGCAGAACTTCTCTTCACATATTTAAAGAACTGAGGGATAAATAATGTCAACAAGTTCAAAACTTCATTGTATTCCCCAAACTATGAAAAACCACACTGTTTAGGTAAATGGCTCTCAGATGGTGTCTTTGTAGAGAGGAAGGGAATTATCCCTGGTTTTGACAGACTACTCTTTTGTATCTGCCTTGGGCTCTGTCCAAATCTGTCAGAACGTGTCTGCATACAGAGCATCAGCAAGTCACCTCAAGTATTCAGCACATAAGCCTCACAAAGATGTCTTGAGCAGTGCAGTGTAAAAATTCAAGCAGGTCCTTTTCCTGTGAATAGGCGGTTTGTCAAGAAAAAAAGTGCAAACATTCACAGCACGAGATGCAGTCAGCCTGTTATGTTTTGGAGTGATCTACGCTGGTTCTTTACCAAGCGAATTCCTCGCACTCATGGGATTTTGCAAATACATTTTTCAAAGTTCAAAACACCCTCAGGCTGCAGTCGTATTTCTTTCATGTAAATAGCAGCCAAATGTCTATTCGCCTACTCAGAAATGGTTAGCGTACCTGGCAGTTTCTGCTATCAAGTCTAATCTTTCTCGTTTCCTTCACAAGCAGTCTGGCAGCTAATGGTCTGTATTAACAGAAATAACATTAATAAATTTGGTCATATTAGAGCTGAATTGGGCCAAGCTCAAGGCACAGAGAGTCAAACATAACATTGACAGACAACTGGGAGTGTTGCACTGACACAAGTAATTATCGACAAATGATCCTGTGCCTAGAGCTGGCAGTGGACAGCGACATCAAATTTCAGGTTTATTTAACAATTATTTCTCATTTTTCAAACAGGTAATTGCTCATTTGTGGCGTCAAAGTTTATGCAAGTTGCTTCAAATCTCATTTCAATCGAATTTAATAAGAATTTATGCCTTTCGTAACTAGACTTTAACCTCAAAGTCTTATAACCAGGCTTGATACCAAGAAAATTGGTCCTCGGGGTTTTGAAATGTGATACAACCGATTGACATATTATGGTTTGGCATTGAGAAAAAAAAATGCATTTAAATCTCAAAATATTCACTTTAAATCATTATGAAGGATTGTGATGATTTGGGGCTGGTCCCTGCCAGGAGAGTGACAGAGTTACAACCATAAACGTTCACAGCGTGTTGTCTGGTACGGGCTCTCGACCTTATTCTACATGTCAGCTCAAAGGCCAGAGCTCAGTTACACATACTTTTTATAGGCCATGCTGATATTCAATCGTTTATTCAGATATGCACTGCCCCCTATCATGTACTGCTGATTACATTAATTTGATCTCCAAAATGTTCAAACTCTGACAAATTACATCAACATGATGGATTTAAATGTAATATAGCTAGCATTTAAAGGTTTCTAGAAGGACAAACAGATATAAGTAGAATTTGTAGATTCCCCCCAAAACTGTGCAAACACTGTCGCTGCATACCAAACAGGATCAATTTGCCTGCAAAGGGCACTTCGGAATGAGAACAATCATAGCCACTATAATGAAGGGCCTTTCTAAACCAAAGTGCTCAATTTCAAAGGGTCTTTCGGAATGAGGGATTTTAAAGGGTACAACTGATAAACACTTTTGATCCAATTCTTTGCAAAGGTTTAATTTGTGACAGATGATGGAAGATGACACAGAAGTGCATTTTAAGGAACAGTTTTTTCAAAGCTTTGACCCTCTGTTGAAGCATGCAACATTGGCTCAACCAATGGCATATGTTTGGGGAGGGGCTAACAGGTAGGGCGACCAATGGGGAATATTTTGGAAATCTGATTAAAATCTGGATTGTAAAACAGGGTTGGTACCCCAAACTGTGGTAATTTATTTTTGCACATTTAGTGAATTTAATATTATTACTTTTTTGAACTGTGCTTATATTATTCCACTGACAGTCATTGTAAATAATTTTTGTAAAGATTTATACATCTAAGATTACCATCATAGTGAGTAGAAAGAAGATACAGCATAGACCCTAGTCAGGTTAGACACCATATTGAATTTATGAACGAATTTTCCTTTTTTCCTAAACAATCAATATGTCGGTATGCCACTGAACACGGCAATAGAACATACGGTCTGTACAGTAGAAAAACCATTACGCCTATGGGATGTCCCCACTTTTCACAAAAACAAACCTTGTGTGTGTGTGTGTGTGTGTGTGTGTGTGTGTATATACACACAAATATATATATACATACATTCATATATATGTACATACAGTATATAACAATTAAAAAAAACATTAACAAACTAAAACAACTAGAAAATATGAAATATTTTTATTTGCTTGCCTCCATGTCATGTGACCATGACACTGACATCAGAGAACATGTGAATGTTTAATTAAATTATTAAAATATTAAACATTTAAATTTAAGAGGGTATAGGTACATATTTTAGGTTAAAGGGGTTCAGCTGACAAAAAAAAAAAGTTTGGGAATCCCTGTTAAAGATCATCAGAAATTTGAAATGGATGTTCACATCACCATAATGCTTCAGAATTATCTGGTTCCTCAATGCGGTCAGACTGGTGCTATTAAGGAGAATGCATTTCTCCACAGTCACCTTAAAATGTCAGCCGCAAACCACGGCTGCCTCATCAATGATCATGTGACCCTGTTTGGCCTGGCCTGATGTGGTTGATTGCTCGCTGAGGTCAGACATTTGTCCTTGTGACTGGATTGGGCTTTTACAGTGTGGGGGATGAAAATTGACCACACTGGCACAAACAGTAAACATGGTTGCTTTTAGATTTTATGCCTGTTTTCCTAATTAGCACAGCCTTAGCTACTAGCCTGACTAGTAACATGTGTTAGTTCTGCCACAACTAAGCCAGAAGCTCGTTTCGTATGCTATATCCTAGTTTAAGTTTGAGGAAAACATCACTATTTCACTTCTTTGCAGGGTCTTCCAGCTAAATTAGATCACAAAGAAGAGAAGGAAATTATATGTGTAACCCTATTAACTAACTCAAGCTAATTAGCTACAGCTAGCACCTAATTTAATGACGTTGTACAAAGTTTAATTGTAAACCCACCCAATTAGATTCAAAGGAGCGGGTAACAACACAATCCGTCTCTTGTAATCTGTTGGTTTTACTGTTTGTAAAAAAACTTGTACAATCACCTTGTAGGTATTTTCTTTTCCTCTCAGGCTTTGGAAGAATCATTGCTCATGCTGGTTTCAATTCACTAACCTTTCAGATTACACAATAATGAGCCAAAATAACTCTCACATGCACACTGAGCCTGCCTGAACCATTTTCCTCCAAAGCTATTTAGGTTCATGATTCACTATTGGTTTTCACAGCAAGGACAGGGCGGGGTGTTTTTGTTGTTGAGAACAGTTTCTTCCTTTTCAGATTGTTTTGTGGTGAACTACATGGTATTGCAGCTTGGCTCGTGAGAACAGATCACCATGAGAGAAAGTAAATAAGTGAACAAAATATAGAGAAAGCCTGAGAGAGCCATTAAATCTAACAGGACCAAAAAAGGGTGGATGTAGCGGCAGGTATTTCCTGCTTCTTGATCTTTTGGGACTGAGCTCATTTTTTTCCCACTGGGGGTTCAGGCTTGGTTTCTATAATAACTTGTGGGATTATGCCAACAGTCTATTATTCATATAATTATTTTTCTGGTTAAGAAATTCCTGTGATGTGTATGGATATGCTTACATTTGCCACAGTAAAATAGTGAAAAAAATAGACACCAGGATGGTTTCAAAGAATAATTATTTAAAGAAGGATTCTTTGATGAATACAAAGTTCAAAAGAACAGCATTTATTTGAAACAGAAATCTTTTGTAACATTATAAAAGTCTTTACTGTCACTTTTAATCAGTTTAATATGTCCTTGCTGAATAAAAGTTTTAACTTTCAAAGTTATTTGTACTTTTAATGTACAATAAGTCACTTTGGACAACAACAAAAAAAATCTGCTAAACGACTGTTACCAACATCAC